TTAGCAGCAAACAACTTTCTGTCACATTTTATTAGTTGGTATCATTTTTACTAATACCTGTCTTATAGCTTCATGACTTTGAGTTCATATTATTTTCATGCTTCAATTAGAAAGAAGTTGATAGCCAGACTATCCAGGAAGGTAATGGAAAAGTCTTGTAGCAGGGCTTAGTGGTGGAATTTATAGTTAAATGAAACTTTGAAATATACTATAAAACTTCTCCTTCCTCTACGTTCTTTTACTCGAGGTCTCATAAGCAGTAATATGTAGAAATGCAAAACTTAATCAGCTAAAAAATATAGCAAATCCCACATATCATTTTATGCAATGCCAGGAGAGCAGAAATATATTTTCCTAACCAGAGGAAATTAACTAGGCAACAGTCCTATATCTATAATTTAAAGCAGTAAAATATGTATGGCAGAATCTAAAGCCACCTTAAAAGAATTCAGGGTAGCACTATATCACAAATTAATGAAATGGAGACATTTTTAGAGCATGCAGCACTGATGATATTAAAGGGGGGACAATATTTCACCACAAAGATCAGACTGATAAATACTTTCAAAATCAAGCTTTTTTCTCTGTTTGAAAGTGTAAGAGCTTGAATATTAGGAGGAAGCACATACAAACCATTAATATTTCTGATCAAATCTCAATGGAGATTAGGATTATTTTACTCTGTCCCTGCCTGTAAAACTGTGATGTGGTTTACACGTTAGGAAAATCTGAGTAAATCAAAAGCCAGGAATTACGGAGTCAGCACCTATATATTTTTTTCATCTAAAACAGTGCTGAAAGAAACTTAAAAAAAATTACTTTATATTCCGTGCTGTAGCCAAGCTGAACACTACGGAATATTCAACTACCCCAGGTTTTTTAAATGCAATCAATTTACTGCTGCCAAATGTAGTAGGTTTATATACATCTGGGAAACATGCACCTACGGTGCTGATGAATTTCTCCTGACATTGCACTGATTTCAAGAGAATGTTATTTTAAATTGGCAGTAGAGAGACTGGTAGAGAAGGATAAAGCCCTGAGGATGGCTGAATCAAAGAGAATTTCAAAAGAATTTTCCTGATGGTTCTTGGATAATATCACATGTTAGCTATTTTCAAAGCCAATAGTTTCCAACACACTTCCATTTATGGTATCAATAATTAAAAAATACTTCAGTGGGAGAGGAACTTACCTTACTGAGAAGAGAAATTGGAAAGCTGTATTATTATCATAAACACAGGAGATGCAAAAAGCTGCGTCTCCATGGAAAAGCTATGGAAACAGGGGTATCTTATTTGCAGCTATTGAGTGGTTACCACAAAATGTGATGTGATTGCATGTGCGTGTTCAAAGTGCTACTAGAACATGATCACAGAGAAATGAAGGGCAGATCCTCATCTCCTTTGTGCTACAAGGCCACATTAAAGTACCTCAAGCTTTGGTCCTAAACCTCAAAGACAACTGGAATAGCGTTAAGGAAATATTTTGGATCCAATTCAGAGGTAAAGCTGGGTTTAAAGAAAATTTAAATTACCAAAACTTAAACCTCATTATGTCCCACTCCCTGCCAGGCTGTCCCTGCCAGCTCCTAATGAATTTTTAACATCCTTCCCCCACCCCACTGCGCACATCAGCTCTGACTCGGGCACCCTGAACTGTACAGCTGCACTCTAATTGTACCTCACATGTCAAGGGGCAAGAAGAAAGCAGTGTGGCAAGAGCATTGATAAATTTAACTTAACATTCCTCCAGCTACTCAGCAGCAAGGCAGAGCAGTGAACTCCCTCCCACATTTTACAGGGGTGTCAGTTTCTTCAAAGGAAATTTTTTTTTGGCACGAGGGAGTCTGGCTTGTTCCCAGCTTGTGCATCATTTGTGTCTGGCTGTTTCTGGAGATCCACAGCAAAGCAAAGACTTCCTTCAGTTTGGGGCACAGTGTGGAGCTTTCCATACGTGCTTTATTAGGGTGCTGGAAGAGGTGAGCCCTGCATGCTGCATACAAACCACGTAGTTGGAGCTGCAGCTCCAGCCATCTGTATTTCTTCCTGTTTTTTTTTTTATTTTTTTCACTTCTGCTCAGACTTCTCTCAGTCCAGGGTATAGATTAATGGTCTATACCTGTTCAGTTTAACACACAGATGTGCTTTTAAGCCCAGAACCTGTTCAGCCAGGTGTCAGGAAGCCAAGCACACCTTGCCTGGGAGTTGGAAGCCATGTGGAGCAGGGCAAGAGGCAGTGCTGGGTCACCCTTGGTGTGGGTTCAGCACAGCACGGGCAGGGTGAGGGTCAGGGAACAAGAAAAAGGCACAAATTGTGACCCTACAGTGATTTCTGGGGAATCATGCAACAGCCATGGCCATGGGGAGCAGGGTGACTGCCCTGAGATCATGTTAGGGTTTCTGTGATTCCACAAACTCTCTTTAAATATTTTGGCATCCGAGTCTCAACAACACTTAACTTCATTAATGGCATTATTTTACCTTGCAATTAATCTCATTAATTGGCTGATCAGTTTTTGGAAATTGTTTTATTAGCACATGGAGAAGAGCTGTTGTACTATCTGCAAGGGATCACCATCGATTCTTTACTAAAGGTAGAAAAACTGGTTCAAGATCTTCACACACACACACAAGAAAGAGAGATGATATTCATTGTGACAGAGGTGCAAATCTCAGAGGTCACCTTTTCTTTTGAAGCCCTTTGTCTATTCCTACAATTAAGCAATGGGGTTTTGGTGGCCGGCACCCCTAGTGGGACACAGAGGACTCTCAGAGCTCTGACTAAAGCTGTGTGACCTCTGCCAAAAGCAAAGGCTGCCTGCCTGCGGCAAGGTGGAGAACAGAAACAAGTCCCAGAGGATTGTCAGGTGCAACTAAACAGCTCAGGCCCTCATTTGAATCAGTAAATTAAGGGTTGACACTGATTATGGCTGATCTCAGCCATCATAACTGATATCACGACTTTGTAAAAGCAGACTGTCAATGTCAGATCTTAGAGCTAGGACTCAAAGAATTAAATATTTTAAAGTAGCAGTCTCCAAAGACAGATAAAAGCCCCAAGGCTATGATTTATTTTATTTTATTTTTGTATTTGTAGGGCTGAAACCAGACCCTTTAATCCACAGGCTGACATTTTCCAATCCTACTAGGAATTGAGTGCCTAACTTTTTCAACCCCTTTGAAAAATCTCAGCTTTAGGCTTTTTTGGTAAGTTTGGCCTGATCCAGTACCAAGTTTCTTTTGAAAATGGCTCTACTGAAGGTAAAACTACAGACACTTTATTATGTAATTATGAGCAAGTATTATTTTTTTTCCCCTATGTATCCAGTTATGGTAGATTTCTGGTAAAATATCAAAGGGTAAAACTTGCATTTCAGAAAAGGTAAAAAAAGGTAGAAAGCTTTCCCCCCCCCCTTTTAGTGCAGTATGCCTACCTACACAGTTATTGAAGATCCTTCTAAGTAATTGCTGTGTTCATTTAGTAAATCACTTTATTAAATAGAGATCTGAAACTACAGGTACTTCCTGATCACATCTATGCACAAACTCAATCCAATCAACTCTTTTACAGCTAATGCTGTATCAGAAAATATGAGAAAGGTATCATAAGTTTATTTTACAGAAAAGTCTCATATTAAGTAATTCTGGCCCCCAACCCACTTTTTCTCTTATTGAAAAAGTGCTGTGGACTTCGGTGCCCTTATCCAAGATCTGAGTGTGTGCTATGATTAAGACCTTCAGAGATCTTTTTTTTTCTTTTTCCTCTAGAAACAGGGAATGCTAAAGATATGGAAAATGAAAAATGTGCCATGTTTGTCCTTGAAGTTACAGTTAGAATAGTGACAATAGCTGTATCACACTGTATTGTTGCTTTTATCAGCAAGTGCCCTGAGCATACATTAACATAATTGCAAACTGCGTGAAAAGTGAACATGCAAAAATGTGATGCAATTGCCAATAGCCTCAAACATCTGTCCCAACAAAGTGTTCCTCCTCCTTATTTTAATTCTTATTATTTTAACAAGGTTAGTGAAGGAGAAACCATGTCACAGATTATATCTACATTTAGAGTGTCAGAACGATTATTGATGCGAAATTGTTATCCAAGTAAATGTGTGTCACATTTTGTTCACTTCCCATAACACCTGTTCACTCTGCTAACACATTATTACCAGTTAAGGCCAGCATTCATTAGTCCCAGTAAAAGCCCACCTGAAAGCTTAATTCATACACATATCTGAAAAATAAACAAAGTTAACTGAAATGTGGCACTGTTTGAGCAGGGCTTCATCTGGAGCTGGTGGGCAGCAAACTTCTGTAGCAGCTTAGGGAAAGAAAGTGAGCCAGGCAAATAGGAATAAATTAAAAACCACTCAGCCTTAAGGGCTGAGATCACAGAAGAACACAACTGATCCAACCTGCATTTCCACCACAGTGCTGAGACCTTCAAAACTCACTTTTGCCAGAGCCCCACACTTTCTCAATAAGAACAAATTTTGGTTTATCTCCTCAACAGGCAAATGACAAAAGCCATCATGAAGCAGAGAGTTTAAGGGATTTAAATTCCACCTAAATATTTTCTGACCCACTTTGGGGTTCTCAGCCCTGAGCCTGGACCTCGTGTAGAGCATGACCATCTCCCAGTTGCCCAAACTGCTCCCAGTTGCCACCAAGGAAAGTCAGGCTTGCATTTCTGTGATACTTGAACACACTTGGTGAATATGAGGGCATCTGCCCTGCAGATATACCACTAACTGTAACCCCAGGAGGCTTAAAGAAATATCAGCACTCCAATTCATAGAGTAAAGGTCTGAGAGGCAGCTCTGTGAATGGATAACTGCCCGGGGCTTTGCCAAGCACAATATAGCTGTCACTTGTTATTAGCTGAAAGATTTTCTGAGGAACAGTGTTTTTCATTTTGCATGTCAGAGACGGGGGAAAAAACACATTTAGACAACCATCTCTTTAAGAAAAGAGAAGAGAGCAGAGCTCACTTACCAGGGCTGGTTATTGTCAGGAGGTCAAGTCGCCGTTTCTGCTGAAAAACAAATTATAAAAGGAATTGTTAAAAGGGGACTAATTTTAGTGGGTCAGCTTAGACCTGCAAAGTAAGTGTTCTGACATTTACAGCAGGATTAATTACATGTTACATGGCTCACAGTAACTCTTTTGGATGGGATCCACATATACTTTTTGAGGGAGAAAAAACCCCTTCCTCAGTCCTTTTAATGTGTTTTTATTTGCACTTATAAAGTGTTACTATTTCTTTTTTGGAACATACACTTGAAATGGATAGCTGGAAGCACAGATGGACAGATATATTTATAAAAGTGATTTCTGATTCCACAGGGAAGAAGACATGGAACCAGGACAAGCAACTCTAAGTTCTTTATTCATATCAATCACTGACTCAATGCCTGTATGTGATCAAACACAATTATATTGCCTTGGGGTGAACCTTTCAAAGACATGTAAGAGGATCTAGACAAACTCAGGACTGATAAAAGGAAGGCTTCTTTTCATGCTGAATGCAGTCAGCCCATGGATCTCACTGCCACCGGATATCCCTCACCCCAAAAGCTTGCCAGATTTGATCATCACTGGATATGTGTACAGATAGCAAAATACAGGGACTTATTATGGCAAATAATCAAGTTTACACAGAGGATTGGTTTCTGGAATGGCTGCAAATCTTCACGGGGTAAACAAACCCATATGATGAGAAAGTTAGGAAATTTTTTGGCCTGGAACAAGCTATCCCACCAAAGCCATTGTGATGGTGGAGTGAATCTGAGGTTCCCTTTTTCCTAACATGTAGCCAGTGCTGTTGCCTACTCCATGTTCCCAGTCTTAGGTGATCCCTCCACCACTGTCTCTCTATAGCTTGCCTCTTAATTCCAGGTGCTCCTGGACCATTATCATCTTTTTTCACTTTTCTGTGGGCTGAGAGTTTTCCATCACAAGCAGGGCTTTCCCCATCTCACGGACAGACTGTTACTGCCCTTTCATCATAGCACTTTCCAACTTACTGTCTTCTTCCTAACTTTGCCCAACATCACTGTGTCTAGCAGGTATTGAAGATTATACTGTCCAGTTTAATTTCTCTCTCCTAATTTGCTCAATAATGTCTGTGTTACTTTCATTTATTGTCAGCCCTATTGATCTTCCAATCTAATTCTCATCACTGCACTCACTGTATTCCCTATGTGACAGCTGAAAGTCCTTGAGGAGGAAACATTGACTTGGTATTCCCCACCCTGAGTGCTCTTCCTTGGAAATCATGACTGATGAAACTCCTTTCCAAACCCATCATTTCTCTGTGGTAAAGCTTCTCTGGCTGGAGTGCAGGGGCACAGTTGGTCATCCACTGAATGCATTTGAGCTGTGTTGGGCACAACAGCAAATTTGGCCTGCTGGGAAAGCAAGTGGGGTGTCAGGCTGGAAAAAACACATTTTCTGAAACCTTCCTGGCCTTCAGTTCCTTACCTCTGGCACAACACAAAGTATATTTGAGAAAAAATTCCTCTCTGTCTTTTTCCAGAGGTACTCCTTGTTCTCTTAACTCTGCTACATCATTCCAAGCATGACCTTAACAGTGTGCTCGAGCACATTTGTTTTAGTTTCAAATACTGGGGCCAGTGTATGCCAAACCTTTTTCCAGGTGTGCCAGGGTAAATGGGAGCAGAATACCCTGCTGCTGCCTTTTGTCACCTGCTCACCCCCCTCCTATCCTGGGAGCAGCAAAGCAGAGTAAGAATTTCTGTGTGTAAGTACAGGACCCACCTTCCCAGTGGGAGCCCTGAGACAAAACTTCTCCTAATGAGCTAAATTTTATATAGATCCTGCACCTTAATCCTGATTCATATGTACAAAGCTGTGAAATGCCAGAGCTTAGCCCCCACTGGGCCAAAAGCTTTGCTTACATTTCTCAGCACAACTGGAACTCCAAATGCTGTATATCCAACGAACAGCTAGAGCAGAAAATATATATCCAAAGCCTATACTCCATGAAAGCCTCTCCACTAGGAAAAAAGGTGGAATATAAATATCCTGCATCAAAGAAAGCTGGAAAATGTAAAGATATGGAACAGAGACAAAGACATGCAGCCCAACTGGCCTCCAGTCCTGACTTGAGTCTGTTAAATGGGGTAAAAATAAACATTAAATAAAAAACCAAAATAGCTTAGCATGACAAATCAGGAAAACAAAAGCATATAGGACAGGTCAAACAAATGGGAAATAAAATGAAATTATTACAAGTCAAATGTTCAGTTTTTAATGTTTTTCCAGTTTGAATACTGCCTTCAAGCTGACCTTGGAAAAAACAAATTAACTCCAGATCCATGAAATCTTTGTGTATGTGTTGAACTTTAAGCTGAAGTTATTTCTCTGACTTCAAGTGGAGCAGCACTGATCTTTTGCATCTAACACCTAACTGCTGCAAGGGATTTGAAATGCCACCAGGTTTTTGGCACTGGCTCCACCCAAGTGCTCCAGGCTGGAGTTTGGTGGTTCCTGCCCTGCCTGGTGACAGAGGGAGGAAAAAATTCTCAGCTCTGACCTTCACTGGACCTTGAAGAAGTTTCTCTGATTTAGCTCGTCGAGGGAAGTTTGTGTACACTCACCCCAGCCCTGGAGAGAAGCAAACAGCAAAGTGCATTCCAGAATCGTGCATTTAAACATGCAAAAATGCCCTAATTATGGACACAATTGCTTTCTGGAAATTCCTGCCTGCTCTCAGATCTCAGGGCTAGCTCTGCCGTTTCCAGGGCTCAGCTGGATGCAAGCAGCCTAGTAACTAGATGGATTTAAAAAAAAAAAAAAAATACAACCAGACAGACTCACTTATGAGTAGCTATAAAAACAGCAGTATTTGAATTTAAAGAGAGAGACATTACAAATGTCACACCCATTAATAAAATAATTTCATCAGAAGAATCGTGGCTGTGGGGCTTTATATATTTGCTTCTTTCTTCAGTGCTGAAAGATGCAAATTGCAGCTGTGGCCCCCCTCCAGCATGATCACCCTCTCCCTGTTTTGACAGATTTCTTGAAAGACTCAGCTCACAAGATGTCTGGCTTTTTTTGTTCTGCCTTTAGGAATTTTCCACTTTTCAAACACCTGCCCCTGCTGAGATGCTTGGGACCATCCCAATCTTCAGGCAACCTACTGTCCCAAGAATTTCTTACAATCTGAGCACTGAAATGCAACGAGTGTCGTCCCCTGTGGGGAAAGTGGTGACAGCTTCCCGTGTCTCCGAGGCTGGATTTCACCCACGTTGACCAAAGGGCATTCCATGAGAGACACAAAAATGATCCCCACAGCATCAGCCATAATTTATAAGAGGCAAACAGAAATATTCCCTGCATCATCACAGTGTCGCTGCTGCTGCTCTAATCCTGTCCTGCCCTTAAGGGGCAGCATCCTCTTTTCCACTCTGCTGGCTCTTTGAGATCCCAAGGGCAGGAGGAGGCCACTGGTGCTTCATTCTGCTCCCCACCTGGAGCAGTTTCCATCGCTGGCACTACCCAGAGGCACGGTCCCTACAGTGCACCAGGGCTCGGAGCAAACCTGCAGCAGATCGTGCTCACTTCCACAAAATTAACACAATCTTTAATTAATGCAATAAGCACTGATGAGTAATAAATCATATTAAAATACAAGGAAGGCAATTTTTTAATAAATTAAGCATTGATTCACTCAATAAATATTAATCTACTAAGCATCAAGAATTCATTACATTTTAGGAAACCAGTTGAAGAACGTCGCTGGTGAGCTGGTCTGCAGTGTGCAGAATGGTCCCTGTTCACCCATAATATACACTTACTTTTAACTAATTCCTGAATTTATCAAGTTAAACAGCTTGCCCGAAAGTGAGTCTGGATTAATACTCCATTGCAAGATACAATTTTCTCAACACAGATTCTAACTCACCCCTCAGATTTTTTTCCTGTTTCTTAGTAATTCCTTTTCTAAGTACCTCCTTTCTCTTCTTCGGTTTTGGAGGTCCTTAAAATATTTACTGACTGGTGTCATTTAATTTTCACCTCAATTAACTTAGTAAGAGTGGCAAAACTGGGGAAAAAATTGCAGGGGGAGTGTAAATTAACTCATTCATTTAAGTTTAGCTTATCTATGAGATGTTCTTTCACACTTTGCTCTCTGCAGAGTTCCTCCAACCTTTTATATAGATGTGGGATGTGCTGCACTTGCTTTGACTCTTATCTACAGATTAGCAAAAGAGAAGGGAAAAAAAGCCAGATGCAAAGATGCCCCACGAGACTGATATGGAGCTGTTTCTGTAGCAACCGATGATTTTCTTCTCATGTAAGAATGAGCCTCGTCATATCTAATTCTGAATGTATCTGGGCCTTACTTGCCAGCCAAAGCTGTGTCAAGTATTAAGTCAATATAGTCAGAAAGAGTGATAAAAAAGCAATTATAAAGTCATCTTCCTACTCCTCCTCCAGCCATGATCCAAAAAATATCCTTATCCTGCCTTCTGCCCCAGCACATCATCTCCAAGGCCCCAACACCCAGCAGTGCAGGTAAGTGGGGATGGAGCTGGCAGCAGCTACTCAGGATCTATTCCACACTTTATGCTGGAAGCTCCTGCAGCTTCCCAGCCATCCACATCCCAGGAACCAGCAAGGCCATCTATTCCTACCTTGCTCTAGTCTCCATATAAAATTCCTGGGCCCAGAGCTGAGATCAGCTTCAGCTCTAGAGAGCTCCTGTTGGGTTTGTGCCTTTCACTGCCTTCACTCTGTGCAGTTTTTGCTGCTGTGAACCCCAAACCAGGCTGCCCACTCACTAACAGCTCCTGCCACAGCCCCCTCACAGGAAGCTGGAATTGACTCTATGGGACCTCACAAGGACTTTGTCTTCCAAAATGTATTTTACCCAGCCTGGTCTCTGCTATTGATTTCTTCCCCCTAATTTGAGTGTGTTTGGAACGTGCGTCTGTCCCTCACCACCTTCAATTTACCGTGCAGGGGTTTAAGATTGAAATGAAGTCCACAATGTTATTTTTTTCC